TGAACAGTCTTTGCAAATAAGCTGAAACTAGAGAGCTCCAGAAATAGGTATTTTAATAAAAATATATGAGAGCACTGTATGTTCAGCAACCCCTGAGCTTTAGGTTCCCTGGACATTACAGATAAAGCAATACAGTATGTGGTGAGGAGTAAGCGTTAGCCGGGCTGCCTAGCTTGAATACATCTCTGCTGTTTATGAGCTGAAGGACCTTGTACAAATTCCTTAATTTGTTTTTGATGTAAAGTTTCTATAAAATGGAAATAAAAAGGGACTTACCTCATAGGGTTATTCTGAGGAATAGATAAGTATATTTTAAACTACCTACCTACTATATTTTAAACGTCAAGTATGAATATTGGCTGCTATTACTCTTATTGTTATTATTAGGCATATTTTGTTTAGACTTGAAAACAAATATTAACCACTATCGTGTTCCCTTCCACCTATAGCTCTGAATCTAAGTGAAACTACGAATAGAAGAAATTGTTTCTTAATGAGTCTGCTCATCTCATCAGCTAATCAGCCCTCCATCTATCCCATCCTCTCAACATTTGAACAGTGAGTTTTAAAATGTCTTGGAATAACTTTAAATTTAAGAAAACTACTCAAATTATCGGATTAATCAATAAGAAAATATAATTTAGTGTTCGGTAGACTACCTCTTTAATTATATACTGAAAAAAAGAAAACGAGAGAATTTTCCTCTTTGAGTTTTTAAACCAATTCAAGAATGAATTAGTTCATGGGAAAAAGAGTTTTGTTTTTGTTTTTGTTTTTTTGGGGTGGCACCTGTGGCTCATTGAGTAGGGAGTCAGCCCCATATACCGAGGGTGGCAGGTTCAAACCCAGCCTCAGCCAAACTGCAATAAAAAATAACTGGGCATTGTGGTGGGCACCTGTGGTCCCAATTACTCGGGAGGCTAAGGCAAGGGACTCACCTAAGCCCAAGAGCTGGAGGTTGCTGTGAGCTGTGATGCCACAGCACTCTACTGAGGGCAACAAAGTAAGACTCTGTTTCTGAAAAAAAGAAAGAAAGAAAGAAAGAAAGAAAAAGAGTTTTTTTTAAAATCTATAATAAAGTTTGTTTAATAAAGAAGAATATCACTGCATACAATGTCTGTCCCTTTCCTTTTGCTGTTTTTTCTCCAACTGGATTAAAATTCTTTGGGTTTAAGATTGTACCTGAATATCCATATCTACATCAATTTTAATATATGTGTATATTTAATCCATGGATAACATTTTTTTTTTTTTTTGAGACAGAGTCTCACTTCGTTACCCTTGGTAGAGAGCCACGGTGTCACAGCTCACAAAATGCTGGTTTATAACAATACCATTATCACATTTAATCAATGGTTGCTGAATTAATAAACGTGAGAAATTTACCTACATAGTCTTGTAGAATATTGATTTTTGATCAGGAGAAATACAGAACAGCCACTATCCCATAAAGATCACATAGAAATACGGAGCCTAAAATAATGTTTGAAAATTTGGGCTTTATTATTTTAAAAATTTAAGTGAGGTTTAACACATATTTCCAAAATTATCATAAAAGACATAAATTGTTCATTCAAATAGAATTTGCTAAAATGCCCCCATACGGTTGACATCTGGCTAAACTTAGAATAAAGCCAATTTTTCCAAAAATTTGCATCTGATAGAACAGAATTCATGGACAAGTTCTCATATTTTGAATATTAAGTTTAACAATCGGACCCTGGACACTTTTATTTTCTAGCGCCTTAATTGTAAAAAGCAACCCAATAAGGATTCGATTGCAGTGGTTCTTGCTAAGAACTAACAAACAAAATATTCTGTGTAATATAAAAACTAATTCATTAAAGTAGCCATGCTCATTTTTCAGTTTGAAAAGCAGTAATTTCATGATAAACAAGTGCAATGTGTAGGCAGAAGGAATACTAACTTGAGGGAAAAGGCAAGAGATGGAGGAATTTTAAGGCTTTTAAAGCCCTTGTCTGAGGCTAAATGCTTGTTCTTTGGGTAGGGCCCAGGGCCTGATCTGACGGCCTCTACGCTGGGTTTAGTGCTAGGACCAGTTTAGAGCCTGTATGTTTGTATTTCCAGTTCAGGATTTCCTAGCTTTTCTACTAGAGGACCTCTCCACACTCGATAGTGCTTACATGTTGGTTATATGTCAATTAAAATCACATGCCACAAAGCCATCATGGATTCAGTATCAATTTAAAATGAATATATTTGACTAGTCACAATATGCAATATATTTTAATAATAGGATTTTAAATATATGTGTATATTTAGTCCATCGATAACATTGAGATATATTAACTGTTGGGAAAGAAACTTCAATACCTTGTATGTTGGAAATTGTTGATCTGGCTGATGTTTTAAAATCAATTTGTAGCTGGAAAAGTTTATATTACTCTATTATTTTCCTCCTAAACTGTTCTGTCTTCAAATAGACTGTGTTCCTTTAAGACGGATTATGATTGTACTTCATACTATGTATACATATTTACATGAACAATTAATGAAAATTATTCCCAATTATTAAAATAAAAAAAAAAAAGAACAGTGCTTTGCGGAGGCAGTGGCAAGTCTTCCCCGATGTGTCATGATGGAGTCATTCTCGAAAACTAATGGCTAGAAAATTGAGTAAACACAGAACCAGTAAAGAAAAGATTTCTTCACTTCCAATGAAATCAGGAGAGCACACTGCTGTGGAAAATTTTGAGACAAGAGCGAGGATATATTCACCATGATGGTATCTCATGCTCACAGGCGTCAACTACCAAATGAAAAAAAGTCCTTCCCCAATATCAATGCCATAGAGTTGACTGTTGTCAAAATCACTGTCAGATGACCCCATTTTCCCATCTCAGTGCCACCCTATCTTTCTTTTTAGCACAAAGCCCGACACTATATTTAATAAAACACGCCATTAATCAGGACTGGTAATTCTTCCTTCCTCCTGCCATTTCTTACAAGTACTTACCAGCCTCACGGTGCAAAGCAGGAGATGCTCCTAGTTGACACCGTATTCATTTGAATTCTTCTTTCATTCCTCAACACACTTGAGCTATTTTTATTTTCCAAATCCAACTGATAGGACAAAAGTCGTCATATAACCAGGTCTCCCTTTTCCTAATTCTAACTTAGCAAACTTTTGATCCTTATCAATGCTCCATGAAATTAAAACCATTGTTAGTGTCATTTTCCTTGTTTCATTTGTCCTTTTATAAAAGAGCAACTAAATGAGAAGTCACTTACTGTCCGATTTCCTACTGGACGGAGAAACTAGACTCAGGAACCCAGCCTATCTCTAAGTCACAAATATCTACCACTTGCCAAGTACCACCACCCTAAACATCAGTGTTTACATATAGTAACAGGCATCTTTCAAGAGCGCCTTGTGGCAGGCACTGTGCTGGGAGCACTTTCCTCACCTTTCTGAGTTAGATGCTGCTATCCTGTTCTACATCTGAGGAAACTAAGAGACAGTAAATAATTTGCCCGAGGATTCACATGCACACGGCTAAATCTTAACCACTATAGGGAGGATGAAGTATTTGCCTCCAATATGAGCCTTCTGGATAACAAAGGGCCTTGAAGCAAGGAAGGAAGGAGCCAGGGAAAGGGAATAAGAAGAAGAAGAACTAGAAAGGTAAGAAGGTAATAATATCCATTAGATTCCATTTTCTACAAAATATGTACCATGCGTATTGAGATGAGCCCTGCTAAACGGACTCACCCCTTAGTCCCTACAGGGGAAGGCAGTAAAAGGGTGACAGTCATGTCCCTGGACACACAGAGCTGAGCAAATGCCTTACAAACAAAAAAGGTAAATAATACAAAAAGTTCCACCAGATGTAATTCTGTGAGTGCAGGAGGACGACAGACACTAAAAACTGTCAGAGTTCAGAGTGAAAGGAGGTGACCGCAGACTCGAACCCAGGCCCTTGAGGAGCACCATAAAAGTAGGAGGAATTTGACGAGTTCCAGTAAAAGGCGCCCATAAGCCCCGCATGTGGCTGCAACAGCAGGGGCTGGAAGCGGAGGTGAGTTTGCACAGCTCGCCGGGGGTGAGGCCACCTCTGGGCAGCCAGTGGAGCTGAGGCTGAGAACGCTGACTGACGGGGTCCATGTTTGGGGCAGGCTTTGTCCAAAATGCAAGGGACGTCTCACTGAAAGATTCTGTCCAAGATTAAGGCACTGTTTGGGGAAGTTGTATCAAAAGCAGCGTGCTGACAGATGATGAGTAAGACAGAAGAAAAATAACTAGGGCTTTTCTTCATAGTTACTAGACTTTGGGGTGACGAATGTCTGAACCACACTGGACACAGAAGGTTAAGCAGGCGGGTGCGGAGGGGAAAGGCGTTTCCAGGCGGGGGCGCGGGGACACCGAGAGAGGGCTGCAGCCCGGACAGTGTGACCATGGATGGCTCAGGTTAGGAAGTGACACACACGTCCTGGGAACAACCTCCCAGGCCAGAAGCCCGACTGGCTGAAGTTACATCTGTCACCCTGAGCAACTAAAACCAGCCACTACCCAGCAGGTGACCCCACAGAGCAAACCCACCCATCTGGTCCACGCTCCCCACCTCCTCCTGCGTGAGTCCCAGAAAGAGATGGAGAAGTTTGGGGAGGAGTCCTGGTCAACCCGAAGGACGGTTCTCATTCCTTCGCCACTACTCCCAGGTGCTCCAGTAGGCAGGATGACCTCGGACAA